TCCCCCGTCCGTTCCGCCAGTCAGCGCTGGCAGATCGGAGCGGGGAGAGGGGAATCCAGCCCCTCCCCCTGTCACGGCAGAGAGCCGTGACAGGATCGAGAGGCGAGCGAACCCGGTATGTGTTCACTCACCTCCCGATCTACTGAGCCGACCTGTGACAGTCTCATTGTCACAGGTCGGCTAGAACTATGAGGTGAGTGAAAAACACTCACCTCATAGTTCTCCTTTTAAGGGCCTATGCATTACGGTAATCACATGGTACTGCGCGATTAACCAGTCGTGTGTGCAGCGCACCTACTGTGCATTACAGTGCAGCAGGCACATTGTGTGGACATTCATTTGAATGGCACTCCAGCACACCTGGCCGCACCATTGTTTTCAACCGCACTGTTTTCATTCTGAGCCTGATGAAGGGGACCCTGTGTGACCTCGAAAGCGCTAGTTTTTGAATGGCTATGGACTTTTGCTTATTTCATTGAACCATTGGTGTGCTGGCGATATTTCTACACATACTGTTTTCCACCGCAATGCATGTTACGGTACCGCGCATTGCGGCCAGGAGGTGCATCGGGGTGCTATTCATATGCATTGTAACGCACATGCCGCACTATAACACACGGTAGGTGCGTTGTGAGATAGTGTGCAGTAATTGCACGGTATGAATAACGTGATGCATTGATGTAAATGGGCCCTTAAAGACACTTTCATACATTAGTCCTTTAAAAATAACAGATCCTCATGATTGCTAGATGAGATGAATCTATGTGTTCTTTGTTTTCGCACTGCAGGTAGCAGAATGAATCCAGGGAACCAGTCTAATGCGCTTGTATTTTTCATTCAATAAAATGACTTTCATAAATGCAGTGGAAGCTGTGACTGAGTCACTGTGTTGAACATTCAGCGATCTGATTTACTTCTTGCAGTTTTACAACTGCAGAATCCAAACCTCGCAGCATGGGGCCAAATTTAGCTGCACGGTCTATGATTCATTGCAGCAAGTACACTTGGCATATGTCAGGAGCTGTTTAAAGGTTTTGTTAATACTTGAAAGAGAACACACATGATATTTTTAGACTCTGACCACTTTTTTTTTTTTTGTGTGGCTGCAAATGAAACCGGGTGGTGGAAGGTGTTTTAATAACTCAAGACTGTTCTACTCAGCTTGGGAAACACCGTAGTTTGTGATCTTATGAAAAATAAGGCATCGGCTTAATTAAAGTAAAAGTAGAGGTGTAAATCATGTTGTTTAATCATGTGTTGGCTTTCATTTTATAATCTGACTGGGAGAAAGTGTTATTGCAACTGCCCAGACATAGTGGACAGTGTTTGTTTATCCCGATCCATGTCCTGGTCACCTTTGCTGGTCAGCCTGTAGGTAAATGTGGAGACAAATAAGGCTTTTGAAATAAGGGAAAAACATATGCGTGTAATTGGGGGACCTTGCATTTTAGTGCAAAAAAATGCTCAGACCTTGTGAACTTGTGCTTTGCCCATGCACACCAATACTTCACTTTTTCCCTCCGCAGCTGTGCATTTTTACCTGTAGCTTGTTCTCCATCACGTCATTCATTTCCCAGGCGCAAAGGAAGAGCCTGCTCAGTCTTTCTAGGCAAAGCTTACGCAGAGCTGATGAGTTTTACCACTCAAAGTGGTAATCCACTCCACTCTATGCTAATCACCAGGCCCCAGAGCTGTCATATGATGCATAATATCTAAAGGTGCCCATACACCTTACAATTATCGCACGATTTTCATCTGCGATCGCGTTTTCGTACTATAATCGCACAGCTGATGGGAAGTGCACAACCGCATTTACTGTACAACCGTTCGACTTTTGTCTTTTTAGCAGGCTAGGAAACTTTTTATCGATTCGTAGGAAATTCGATGGATTAGTGGCGTTTCTCAATCGACAAAATTCGGTCCAGGTGATCTTGCGAACGCTAATTGAAACCCACAATGGTCTGTGCATGATGGGGCAGTTGTGCGAAAATCGTACGGCGGTTCGATCATCGTACAAAAATAATCCTGTGATAATTGTAAGGTATGGGCACCTTAAGAGGGGGAAGGGGTGGGGGGGTTTGCTCACTATAGTGGAAGGTGCAACTAGGAGGCAAAGTGTACGTGAATATATGCTGCTGTGGAGGGGGAGATGGCGATTTGAGTTTTGCGCATGCTTGAGCAGACTGGGTTTGCACTAAGCCCAGTCTCATTACTAGTGCAGATTTTAGATGTTGCGGAGATCATTCAAAGTTCATTCTCGGGTGCATTTTGATCTGCATTTGACCCCTCCTGAGCTACGTCTTTGTTTCTGTTTTTTATGGGGAAAGAAACCGTTCTGAACCACCAAAAGACTGTATACCGCCCCTAAATCCCTATATTTGCTGGTATTTTGATCTTCGGAATAACCCGAAATCTGAGCTTGTGAAAATAGGGTGTAAAGAAGAAATTCATACTGCAAAGGGTTGTGAAACCTAGTAAGCCAGGCTGCATTTTATTATACAAAACGCCGCTTGTGTTCTGGTGTGGTGACATACGGTCATTTTTCTTGTTGCACATTTGTTTCCTGGACAGCAGTTCACTTGTTGACTGGTTTCCTGAAATTACCCTTTAAATTGAAAGCTGTATATTTCAAGTGGCAGCAGAATGAGTCTTTCTGCAAACACTGCCCTCAGTTGTGATCATAAAAGACACTACTTTGACCAATACTCCTAAAGGCTGCAGAAAATGACATCACACTACATGGCCCTGCTTGGCGTTCATTGGTAATATATTGCGTTCTCATGTAACGGATATACTTTTTTTTTTTTTTTAAAGATAAAGTTCATGTAATGTTGAGTATTTTTTTTTCTTCAAATGTTAAGTGCCCATACACCTGCCGATTATCGTACGATAATCGCTGGAAATCCCGTGATCGTACGATAATCGTCAGGTGTATGGAAGGCGTGCAACCGTTTCTACTGTACGGTCGCACGTCTTTTGTCTTACGAGCAGGCTCGAAAACCAGCCGAGAATCATACGATTGTTGTCGCGTTTGTGATTGTGGTCTGCTCGTAAATATATATGTTTGTGGTCTGCTCGTAAGGCAAGCGCACACATGCAGAGCTCGTAAGGCAAGCGCACACTGCCCTTTCAGCATTGCAGTCATCGCAAGCCCGCCCCTCAGGGGGGCGGGCTTGCGATTATACTTCCACCGCTCCAAGCTTGCTCCTGTGATGGACTACAACCTCAATACAAACTAGTAGTCCCATCACTGGAGCCATTTTTTAAAATGTATTTTATTGTTTATCCGATTAACCGATTAACCGAACTTAATAATCGGCTAACTAATCTATTTATTTTGAAAATAATCGTTAGCTGCAGCTCTACTAACAACCATCGCAAGACAAAAGTCTTGCGATGGTTGTTAGGTGTATGGGCACCTTTTTAGACTTGCCATACACCGTCCGCATTTCTGCTTACTCGGCCAAAATTTGAGCCGAGCATGGCACCACCCGAGTGAAAATTCTTGGCCAAACGTTGATTGGCTGCAGTCACTGTTCAGCTATTCTGAAAGTGTAAACGGGGGACTGTCGGAATACAGTAGCCTGGCAGGGGAGATTTGTCAATCCGTGCGGTTGAGCGTGGATTTAGAAATCTATAAGTGTATGGCCAGTTTTAGTTGTGTTTTTTGCTTTTAAATGTCTTTGGACACACAAGGCGCATGTCACATTGCTCAGCGGTCAATAACTTTCTTTGTCTTTTACTTGCTGTATACTAGTACACATGTTCAGTTGAGATCCTTGTGCCACATTTCTCTCACTCCTGCACACAGAGCCCCTCTCTCAATTAATCCTTTGTTCAGTTTTCTATCGTGCATTGCAGATAAGCGTGAGGCTGCAGAACTGTGTGGTGCAGGCCATTCAGTTTCTGCTGGTTACACTAGTCAATCTCTATGGATATTCTGCACCTTATCGACCGTTTAATTCTTAGTGGCATGTTGTTGTTTTGATTTTGCATCATTTATTTATTTTTTTTTTCTTTCTCTCAGGTCTGAACATGTCTACAGATGGGGCGTTTGGTGCAGGGAACACTGATGCGCAGCAAAGCTTGCAGTCATTTTGGCCAAGGGTCATGGAAGATATTCGCAACCTTACAGTGGTAAGTACATCCAAACAACAAAAAACATAATGCATAAGTATACTTGAAGCGAAATTAAACCGTTGTGGGAGCGGACAGCATTTACCATAATGTGCGTATTTGCACAGCATTTTTTGCTAGTGTCTTGGAGGTCAGAGGCCTTTTCTCTTCTAACAAAAAGGAAAAATGTAACTGTTTATTTTTTCTTAAAATCTTTTTGCTTCAATTAAAACTCCATCTGCTTGGTAATCAGCTTAGCACTTTATGCAGCTATCTGGGTCAGTGTTTCCTCTGCGATGCCTTGGACTCCACTGGAGCAGGGCTTGCATGGAAAGTGATCCTGAGCACTGAGCTCTGCATGCGCAAGAAGCGTTTATTTGCTGAAATCTCATTGGCTACTTCAATAGACAAAGGACGGTTGCATCTACACTCACCGGCCACTTTATTAGGTACACCTTGCTAGTACCGAGTTGGACCCCCTTTTGCCTTCAGAACTGCCTTATTTCTTCATGGCATAGATTCAACAAGGTGTTGGAAACATTCCTGAGAGATTTTTGGTCTGAATTGCCCTGATAGCATCACGCAGTTGCTGCAGATTTGTTGGCTGCACGTGCATGATGCTAATCTCTCCTTCCACCAGATGCCAAAGGTGCTCTATTGGATTGAGATCTGGTGACTGTGGAGGCCTTTGGAGTACAGTGAACTCATTGTCATGTTCAAGAAACCAGTTTGAGATGATGTGAGCTTTGTGACCATGCGCACTATCCATGCTTTCGTGTTTACGCCAAATTCTGACCCGACCATCTGAATGTCGCAGCTGAAATCGAGACTCATCACACCAGGCAACGTTTTTCCAATGTTCTACTGTATTGTCCAATTTTGGTGAGCCTGTGCAAATTGTAGCCTTCGTTTCCTGTTAGCTGACAGAAGTGGCACCTGGTGTGGTCTTCTGTTGCTGTAGCCCATCTGCTTCAAGGTTCAACTTTTTTTTTGCGTTCAGAGATGGTATTCTACATACCTTGGTTGTAATGACTGGTTATTTGAGTTACTGTTGCCTTTCTATCATCTCAAACCCATTCTCCTCTGACATCAACAAGGCATTTTTTTGCGGCCACACGACTGCGACTCACTGGATTTTATTCTGATTATTCTCTGTAAACCCTAGAGATGGATGTGTATGAAAATCCCAGTAGATCAGCAGTTGCTGAAACACTCAGACCAGCCCGTCTGGCACCAACAACCATGCCACGTTCAAAGTCACTTAAGTCCTCTTTCTTCCCCATTCTGATGCTTGGTTTGAACTTCTAGAACTTCTAGGTATGTCTAGATGCCTAAATGTATTGAGTTGCCGCCATGTGATTGGCTGATTAGCAATTTGTGTTGCCAAGCAATTGCACGGGTGTACCCAATAAAGTGGCCGGGGAGTGTAAATGCAAATACGTATAAACTCATGTAAGCACGCATCATTTTAAGCATCTAGAAGCATAAACAAAGCATCTAGCCTGACAGATTTTGCAGACAGAGCTCTGCATAAAAAAAGCAAGTGGCAAGTGTGAATGAAGTCTTAAAGGAGAACTATGAGGTGCTTTTCACTCACCTCATAGTTCTAGCCGACCTGTGACAATAAGACTGTCACAGGTCGGCTCAGTAGATCGGGAGGTGAGCGAACACATACCCGGTGTTCGCTCACCTCTCGATCCTGTGACAGGGGGAGGGGCTGGATTCCCCCCTCCCTGCTCCGATCTGCCAGCGCTGACTGGCGGATCTGACGGGGAGGGGGCGGGTACAGCTGGCTCTGCCTCTAGATAGGCAGAGCCAGCTGTCACTCACGCAGCTGGGCGGATCCAGACATAATTGTCGGGATCCGCTTCAGCTGCGGCGTCTCAGTATAGGTTGTGAAGCTAGAACCCAAATGTCACCCCATAACCAGCTGTAAATTGAAATATATAAGCTTTCTTTCTCTAATTTCATTGTTTTTTTTCCAGTTTATCATTTTGAGGGTCTGCTCCTACATATTAGCTGAAGCACACTTTGCCCTGCCTTGCCTTTGTTGGCATGCTGTTTGTATCAGTTCTAGCAGTAAAGTATCCCATTTATATAAGTTTATTTTTAAATTACTATTTCTATTAAATCCTGGCCGGTACGCTATATATAGATTTTTGGCCATACCTATATACTATGGCCCTCTGAGTATGCACTCTTTCCCCATGTGGGATATGCTCCCCTGCTCTCATATGTTGCAACACTTGTAAAATTTGCGTAGTTTTGTTTTGTTTTGTTTGCTTGTCTTCCCTTTTAAACTCCAGCAACTAGATTGCTTTGCTGCTGAAGGTCATGGCCTACTGTTGCTGTGGGGAAAGAAGTAGTTTACAGAATCCAGCAAGCTATCTTTCCTGTAATCCTTTATATTCCGTGTCTCTGCAACCTCATCTCTACCTGCAATGCCTGATTAGCATCAGATAGAAAGATATACAAAGTGTTTAACACAGAATTATGTCACGGTTTAATACATTGTTCATCAGCGATCCTTAAAAAGCAGCTTACGAGTCTTATGTGGTAGCTCACTTCCTTTTTGAGGTTTCTTGTGATATAAATAATATAACTTTTTTTTTTTCTTCTTAATTGTACATTACATAAGCATTTCTCAACCTCTTTTCAGTCACGTGACCTTTTAACAGTATGCAAAATCTTCAGGCACCCCAGTCTAAAATGTACAAAACTTAAATGTAAAAAGATTTGTAAAAAGAAATGCCATGTTCCCCTCTTTATGTGAGGACCCCCCTTCCTTTCATCAGGAGCCATGGTGCTGACGGCCAGCGAACCTGCAGCATGGAGAGGCATGATGCTATGTGAAAATTTTGAGGCACCCCTACAGAAGCCATAAAGCACTCCAGGGTGTCGCGGCACCCTGGTGGAGAAGGCTGTATTACAGGACACAAGGTGGGAATTCTGAAACCAAGGACAGTCCAGTAAAAGCCCTCCTACTGCCAGCAAGCCTCAGTTTTGTTCAGAGTGTCCTTTAGGAGTACAGACCTCTTCTATCAACTTTAAGAGAAGAAGCAGACCATTTTCTCTTTCCTTTTGGATTTTTTTTTTTTTCAAGATTTGTCTTTTTATAGTGCATTTTCTTCTAGCAGCTCCAGTGCTACTAAGGCTACTTCTTGCAGATTTTGAGTTGGTTACTCCTCAACTTTGCCCAGGGGAAAGTTACTGAACCCTTTCCAATGCCCTGTTCTCCCTTATATGCAAACTGCTGTTGGAGCCATGTCCATCTGTCAGACTCCAGCGGTTTGGTCCAGGATCATGGATCCATTCTTAGTACCCTCTGTCCTCCTATAACTGGCACTCCTTGCCCATGGCAAGATTTTAGTGGCGCTTGTAAGTCTTCTATATAGTGCAAGTTGGATTGACTGGAGGGCGTGATGTAAACTTGTATTTACTTTTTTGCTGCAGATGTCAGAAAGGCATGAGGACTAACCTGTTTAAAAGGTGTCTCTGCAGTCCATATAACTAGCATGCCCAACAAGTCTTCTAGAATTATCTTTATGTTAATAAGGCCCATTGTTTAATTTTAGTTACTCCTGCTCTTGGGCAGATTGTGAAAATGCCAGACCGCATTCTGACAAAGCATTCATTGAGACGAAAGGGCACTTCTTGCCTTTGATAGACCTGAACATTTCAAGCAGAAGCTAGAGATCAAGGTATACTCCGTATAAGAGAGCAACCTGCAGTAACTTTCAGAAACCAATGTGAAATCTTTGTGTTCCATCTACAGTAAATTGAAAATATGAACAAGCTCAATAATTTAGATTCACAGCATAAGATATTACTTATGGTTAAGGGGGGAAAAAGTATTTTGTTTAAAAAGTCATTTGTTTAATCCCTGTATTAAATGTAAATACAAATTTAAAATGGTATGTTCCATCTTTTGATTGCTGTATGATGTATTTTCCTTTTCTTAATTCACAGAAAGATTTCCGGGTCCAGGAACTTCCATTGGCTCGCATAAAGAAGATAATGAAGCTTGATGAAGATGTTAAGGTACATTTTTTTTCCACAGGTACTGAATACTGTACTGCTGCTTCTGTTTTTATCCAAACTCGTCCATCTTTTTTGACGTCCCAGGTGGACATCTGTTAATTATCCTTCCTGGCTTTGATTGTGCTTGCCTTCAGACAGTGGATAGCAAACAGCCACACACGTGTACTAATCGGAAACACATTTTTTTAAGAAACATACAAGTTTGCATTGGGCATGTTTGTGCCTGTAAAGGGGGACTGCGTAATTTGCTGGCCTGTAGCTGGGGAAAGCGATAGTAAGCTGATGAAGCTTTTTTTCTGCTGCCGAATTGTGACACTTTTTGTGTTCCGTTAAAAATATTGTGCCATGTGAGCACAGGAGGGATCGTGGTGATGAATGTAATGCAGTTTACAGATTGGAGCAGTGGTGGGATATGTTACATGCAGTGTAGATTGTAGTGTCTTATGTAAAGAACATATAGCACAGGGTAAAACCGTGTGACGTATAGAATAAACAGCACAGTGTTTAAAATGGAGTTGTGTGGACTTGGGCCTTGCACATAAGGAAGTGGACATAATGTGCACAGTACCATGTACTACACAGTTTACAGAATAAATTGATGTAAAGTATATAATACACTGTGAGCAGTGTGGAGTGTGCAATGTTCACTGAAATGTGCAGGGTTAAGCTTTGGGTAGTATAGATCACATTCCAGAGTGGAATATTGGATTCCAGCACATTGTACATTTGTATGGTGTTTAGAATGTCCAACACACTATGTGGAGTGGTGGGAAGTATAGAACTTACAGTACAGAGTGGAGGGTTGGTGAAGTATACAGCAGGGTGTAAAGCATGTAAGACTCACTGTACATAAGGCTACAGCAAGCAAAGTCTTGTAAAAGGAGTGTGCAGATCTAGAGACCCAGACCTTTCATGCATGAGGGATCCAAGGTGTGGAATAGGGAGAGAGCAGGAATCTGGATGAGAGACGGGAGACAGAAGATGTTTAGTAGAGCTGCAGCTAGCGATTGTTTTCAAAATCGATTAGTTAGCCGATTATTAAGTTCGATTAATCGGATAAAAAATAAAATACATTTTTAAAAATGGCTCCAGTGATGGGACTACTAGTTTGTATTGAGATTGCAGTCCATCACAGGAGCGAGCTTGGAGCGGTGGAAGTAAAAAAGAAAAAAAGTTTGGTGTGCAATATAGTGAAATGGAAAGTGTAAAATTATACAGAAATCAATGCAGAATGGCGCCGGCTATAGAGGACTACAAATCCCGGCAATAGTACATTATAGCTGGCGGTATTCTGCATTGCGCTGTATAATGTACTATTGCTGGGATTTGTTGTACACCTCTATAGCTGGTGGTATTCTGCATTGCGCTGTATAATGTACTATTGCTGGGTTTTGTAGTCCTCTATACAGCGCAATGCAGAATACCACCATCTATATAGGGATACAACAAATACCAGCGATACATTATACATACAATGTGTTGCTGGGATTTGTATTCCTCTGTATAATATACAGTACAGCAGAATGTACCATCAGCTATAGAGAAATACAAATCCCAGCAATACATTATAGAGCGCCATGTGTGGGGAAAGTGCAGGCTTACCTGAGCAGTCTTCCAGCAACTTGCTTCTGAGATCGGGCCTGTCTATCGGCAGCTGTCATCCCCCCACACCTGCTCCTTCTTACTTCTCCCCGCGTCCCTGTGCCGATCATGGATGTGGGCGGTGAGTGTGAGGAGGTGCGGCGCGTGGATGCGGGCGGGTCTGGCAGCGGCGAGCGTAAGGTGGGGAGGAAGTGTGGCGCGCAGCGTGTGTGGTGCCATTAACAGGGCCAGCCAATCGGAAGCCGATTAATCGATGATTGAAAAAGTTGACAACTTTTTCAATAATCGATTATAATCGATGTATGTCGATTAGTTGTTGCAGCCCTAATGTTTAGGATAGGGACTAGAAGGTCAAGAGATGACCTTGGGATGTATGTTTTGGTGAGTAAATGCGAGAGAGAAGACATTGGAGTAGGGGAATACAATGAAGGGCAGAGCGGGGGGATAGCAAGAGGGGAATTGACACCTGGAAATAGAGGAATAGATGTTGTATGGCAACGCAGGTCAGGAAGTAGGTGGATACAGAGAACCAGATGGTAATAAACTGAGCTGCAAAGTGGTTGGGGTTAGTATGCTATAAAGCTGTATGGGGAATGCACGGTGAAGGTCTATTGAATTTGAATCCAGAGTAAGTGCACAGCTAGGGGAAGACCTATTCAGAATGAGAGGCAAAGGGGAAAACAGATGGAGCAGGAACGCAGTAAAACAATGGAAGGCAAACTGAGAAATTGGACTTGGATCATATTGGAGAGGGCAGTGGTATATGCATCCTGAGTGTGCAAGAATTCTGACCTGAAATAGAAAGTGCCCCTCTCTTCATAATGTAAAGTACTAAAAATAAGATTCACCTTTTGGTGAGAGAATAGATTGCTCCTGCTGAAATTGCTAGTTACCTGGCTGCCTTGCTAATTCCTTTGCTTACCACTGGAGCAAGTAATGAATTGGATTTCGTATTCGGGTACTGACAGGTACATTTTGAACATTTACCTGTTGGCTTTTTGTGAGCCTCGACAGCGCTCCTAAAAACAGCAAGGGACTAATTCAGATTCCATTTAGAGTGAAATCTGTTTGTGAATAATTGTGCAATGCATTGACAAAATATTTTGACTTTTTCTTGTTTGTTATTGCTGCATTGTCTACATATAATGAAAAATATGCTCACAAATGTTCTTTGTTCCACAATAGATGATCAGTGCAGAAGCTCCAGTTCTTTTTGCCAAAGCTGCTCAGATTTTCATAACAGAGTTGACACTGCGTGCCTGGATTCACACAGAAGATAATAAAAGGAGAACATTGCAGGTAATGCACCAGTAAAGCCAGACTCCGGAGATTCATGAAAAGCAAAGCTCTTTTCTTTTGTGTTTGATGAAACAAAATATCCAAAATGATTATTGTATTATTTCAACAATCTGCTTACTTTGGTAATCTATTCTATAATAGATTTTCAATTGTTTTTGTGTTTCAGAGGAATGACATAGCCATGGCAATCACCAAGTTTGACCAGTTTGATTTCCTCATTGACATTGTTCCTCGGGATGAGTTAAAACCTCCAAAACGTCAGGTTAGTATATTACAAGTAATAATAATAAAGTTGCTTCATTACAGTATTTGTGTTCCACAATAGACTGCAGAATGCGCCTCAATGTCACCTGTCTAATTGTACACTCAAAAGTAACTTTATTAGGTGCACTTGGTGAACCAAACAACAGATCAAGTAGCTACTCAATACATTAAACATGTAGGTTTAATTGTTAGATGAATCTTCCACAACAAATGTTTCATCAAAGTGACTGTGGAACAATTGTTGATGTAAGATGAAAGCCCTCACTAACCTTGGTAGTTGCAGGCACCATGAAGTAATTCATCCTCAAAGTTCACAACAAGGGCACTGAAATTGTTAGCTCATCTCCCATTGCTTCTTCTGCCAGCCTTCCAATGTAGACAATCAAAAGATACTGTAAAGAATAGGACTCCAACCTGATTTCAAAGTTTCTGTTGTCCTCTTTGAGTGCCTGCAGCTATAGAGGTCAATGTTTTAAAGTTCAGTTGCCGCTTGTTGGGCATATGTAAATATTTTTATTTCTATAGCCTGGTAGAAGTACACTTTAAAGTGACACTAAACTCAGGGATTACATTTTAAAAATGCATTAAAGTACCTTTTAAATATTAACAAAAATGTATCTTATTTGTGTATTGCTTGGCTGTAGATCCTCAAATCATCTCTGAATTGGTGCTGACACTGTCCTTCCTTCTGGAGGGTTCCTACTTTTGTTCCCCATGGATCCTGTGTGTGCTGCAAAAGTAGCCACCAGTCCAAGCTCACTCCTGTGATGGACTACAATTTCATCTTTTAATTTACTGATTTGAAATAATAGTCCATCACAGGAGCGAGCTTGGAGTGGTGACTACTTCCCGATGGGGAACAAAAGTGACTACTTTATAACACCCACAGGAACCATGGGGAACAAAAGTAGCCACCCTCCAGAAGGAGGGACAGTGTCGGCACCACTTCAGAGATGATTTGAGGATCTACAGCTGAGTGATACACAAATAAGATACATTTTTGTGAATAGTTAAGGTACTTGAATGCATTTTTAAGCTTTAACTCCTGAGTTTACTGACACTTTAAGGGAGATTTTCTTGAGGCATTGGTGATCTTCTAGGGTAATACTAGAGGTGATTTAATTTTGAAACCTACCGCTTCTCATTTCCCCCTATTTTATGGCACCTTCTAATTCATATATCTTTTACTTTTCTTAAGATCCTGAAACTTGCATATTTGTCAGCAAAAGTTCTGTTTCTATGTAAGCCAATGTGTGATTTGTTTTCTGGACCTTTAAAAAGCGTGACTAAAACTGTTATCTCAGTGTTTAGCGTGTATTCTTTAAAGTGTATCTTTGCATGTTTTGGTAAACCAATTTTCTAAAACCTCAATATCCGCCACCTAAGTCAGAGTTTCCAAAAGTATGCCTAAGCAATTCTGAGCAGAACAGGTAAAATGGTCGTAGCCAAGCCTTGTGGGTCAGATGAATAGTATCTGTTCTTGTGTGTACTGTGAGATGCATTGTGTTTTGGACATTGATATTTTGAGTAATGTCATCTGCAGGCAGTTTCAGCTGTTGTAAACATCCTTGACTGGAAGCTGTGAGACTGAAAGGAGCTTTCAGTCGGATGTTTACAGCTGTTGGCTGCTACACTCTTCTTTGACGACTACCATTGGAGAAAGCATCCTGTTTATTATTAGATGTCCTTTTGCCTGGGATTCGTGAGAACCATACATGGGATCTCATTTACATTGATGTGGCAGCAAGTACTTAGTACCAGTTTGTGTGTATAGGATTGCTTTATGACACACTTCTCATATGCACAGAAGACTAAGCCAATATCATTTTTGGGGGGCACTAGTTACTTCTGTGTGAAAAAAAAATTGGGCTTGTACCTGGGAACGTAAAAGGTTTTAGTACATTTTTTTTTTTCTTTTTTTTTCTTTCAATGTCATGATCAGTAAAACATATGATAAAAAAAGAGTACTTGTGCATGTTGCATATGAACACCATGATTCATTTTCTCAATCCAGCAGGTGGGACATTAGGCTCCTTTTTATCTAGTTCCTCCTTTTCTGTTCAATGGTTCAATAGTGGAGGTAGCACCAAATATCATTTTTATGTCAATTGCATGTATGTTAAGAGATGTAACGCTTATATAGTACACAGTACCCCTCCTCTTCCTCCCCGATAATGTTTTCATCTGCTTTTGTTTCTAGAAGGACAGTGTACCAGCTTTGTGCAGGCATAATCCACTGTCAACATCTACAACCTAAACTAAGATGCTGGTTGAAGGATGGCACAATCCTGTAACTTCTTGGGCCTGTGCAGTTCTTGGCTGTGTTTTTTATAAATGTCTGACACATCAGTTCCCATTTGCCACCTCTCACCTTTTGTGACTTGCTCCATATTTACAGTGTTACCGTCTAGTCACTGGGAGAGCGGAGATTGATGAAATGCTTCCTCCTGCCTGCAACAGATTGATTACGTCTTCTCAGCCAAGTGCCAAAGCACTGTGGTGTTTTTTTTTACTAAATTCTTTATTTTACAATATAAACAAAGACCATAACAAACATAAAGGATATTTTCCAATAATAGTAACAATTTTAGAAAACATTAAACCGTTGTATACCATGAGAACATTTGTAGTGCAAAGCTCTGGTGTATGCATGTACCATAACTGCTAGTCAACTCGGAACAACCATATAACTAGCAGGATTGCACAGGTATACCAGTGTTAGGGGGTCATAGGAGAGGGAGTAGAGGGGAATATAGGGATGTAGAAAATAAGTGAAAGGGCAAAAAGAGGGACTCTGAAGGGTTGTCTGTCCTCTCCCTGCCGCCCAACGCCAAATCAGACCAGCCATCCCCAAAAGGGGATGGGACTGCATAAGACAAAATGCGCCGAATCATCCCACACAGCCAGTAAATCTCCAATACCTGTCCTAGAATACTACTACTACATTTTTGGGGGGGTTTAATGACCAAGGCATAACTTCTTTTTTTTTTTTTTTTTTTTTAATCTTCTGTTTCTGTATATTTTGGCAATTTGTTTATGCAGCTTTGTATATAATGTGCACGCATTATGATGCTGCTTTTACCTGGGGGTAGTGGTGATGTGTGTCATAATATTGCCAAAATCTATGACAGTGTTCAGTAATCCAATACACATGTAAAGTGGCTTCTGACTTGAGCACGATGCTGCAGGCCTACAGTATATGGTTAAGGAGCATTCATTCCCAACCAACATGCCCTGGCCGAGCACTCTCTGGGAAAATCACTTTCTTTGGGTGCTTCCCTCTCCCACCATGATTATTACAGACCTACAGATCTGCTTAATGCAAATGTACATGTGTGTAGGCAACTCTTCCTGCTTGTCATCTGATGCTGCTGATTTTTCTAGATTAAACACCGTTCATTCAGTATATATGGATAGCCTTCTTGCTTATCTGTATTGTTTAAGATTAGCTTGAGAAAAGGTAATGTATCTTTTGGTAAAGTCTTGGGTGCCTGCCAGCTGCAGATGAAGGCATTGTAAGTAAATGATATGTGATATTTTTGCTGTCTCATGAAAAAAGGTTTTTGTTTTTGGGGGGCTTTATAGGAACCTTCTTCAAATGTCTGTGATAGTGTTTGTAAACATCCTACACTCTCAGCTGTGAATATATGATGGCTGGGAGAAGGGTGTTTACTCCCACTGTCATAGAATAACCCACAGACCAATGGTCACTATTGGATCCAGCCATTTTAAGAGGAGACCGTAGGCGGCACAGGATGGGATGTGTTAATGCAAGCAGTTGGCAGCATGTACCAAAAATTAAATCTTGCGCAAAGCCATTCATATGTCTGTCCTTCGTTTATAGGTCTTGCTTTTTAATGTGTTTTATTTTGCTGATTGTGCTATAGAGAAGTAAAAGCCACTTCCCATATCTTGTCTTTTAAAAAAAGAGTTCTTATCTTTTGTGCATGAGCAAGTTTAGATATATAATGCTGTGCAAACAGTTCAATAGTCAATATAACTAAATAGCTCTTTTGTGCTAAAGTGTTGATGTTCCTGTAGTTGGTGCCCTTTATAACCCACACAAACCTGTACCTAGAAACAAAAAGGGTAGCTGTGGATACAAGGATTCACTGTTAACCTTAATGGGATGCCCATCTTGCTCAAAGCAGAAGCTGTTTAACTCGGTGACAAGTTAGCCTCATACTGTGTAGAATATGGCTGAACTTTGGTTAGGGCAGGGGGAGACCTCCAACATAGTGGTCAGGGAACAGCTGTTTATCACTGTAAACATAAGATGTTTCATCTCACAAGCAAATGTTGGCTTTTGTTAAATTTGAAAAGTCCACTTTAAATTGAGTGGAGCACATTTGATGGGCCACTGGGAGTTCAGTCAGTGGTTTTTGCATCTGTAACACTATTAAAGGCTCACCTCTTCTGATCTCCATGTCCGAGACTTTTCATTGATTTATGACAGCGCCAACTAGTCCTCCCCCCCACCCCCCACCCCCCCGCCCCCACA